GACTCGGAACCGAGCGGGGGCTGAGGCGGGGCCCCGGACGACGCCTCTGGGCCTTCGAGGTTCAGGGCGGAGCCCGGGAAGAGGCGATCGCGAGGCCGCCTGTAATTGGGTTTGAAAGTAGCATAACTTGTTGCTGGGTCGGAGTTCTCGAAGTGCTCCGTGTTCGTGCAGAAGTGGCCCCTGTGCAGTGATCAGCATCTGCCGACAGCAGGTCGGGGTGTGCGTCCCATAGCAGCAGACACATCTTATCGTTGCTGGCCATTTTCGTGTTCAGTATCAGCCGAGTGAGCATGGTTTACGTAGACAGGGTCCAGCGTGTAAGACAGCCTTGCGAAGCCACTGCCGGAGCCAGGCGCCAGTTGTCTCGGTGGGACAGTGTGTAGTCAACTCGGGACTACCACACAGTAATAGTGTTGTGTGCAGCGTGTTAAAAAACCGAGACGCGGGAAAAAGGAAACGGGTTTGAAAGGGAAAACGACCAAGAGAAGGAAGCATTTACAGCTAGGTGAGCTTTTATTGAGGCGCTTACTGGGGATAAAGGAGGAGAGTTCTGAGTTAATGCTGAGTGAGAGCAGGGAGTAATTACACTATTGGGTTTCATACCGATTTAGGGTGGGCAGTAATCCCAGATCCCTATCCTAGGAGGAGGGAAAGTTAGACATGGATGCATGCAGGGAGCATCATGAGAAGATGAGAGCGGACATCGCGCGGTACAGCAGCAGGAGGAACACCACAGGCAGCCCAACTCCCCTTAGGAAGGGAGAGAGAGCAAGCCTGTTTCCGGCAGCCTGTGAGAGAGCTGGGCCCTGCCAGCACCCTGATTTAGGAAGTCTCACCTCTAGGACGCTGTTCTTCTGAGTCACCAGCCAGTGACACTTTGTAACCACAGCCCTGGGAAACAGTAGAACCAGGCTTACTTCAGCCTGCCCGGGAGGAAGAGGACCGTGTTCACAGGAGGGCCAGGTCCGAGGGCAGTGTGAGGGGATCCATCGGCTTCACTTGCTAAGGGAGCGATCGAGGTGGGTTGTGGTCCCAGTGGTTAGAACAGCGTGCCATGTGGGCCCAGGGCAGGGAAGAGCAGCCTTTTCTTTGCAGGAGTTTGGAGAGTGGGGTTATAGCTGGGAGAGCAGTTAGGGGTCAAATTGTGAGCCTCAGGCGCCAGGACAGTTTGTCTGATGTGTACGCAGTTGCAAAGTGGGGACACTGGCCAATGCGAAGCTCTGTCCGTATTGGGGGGGGGCATGTGTTGGAAGAGCCACAGTTGGCAGCAGGTAAGAGGTGATACGGACCCTGGCTGAGGCAGTGGCTGAGGGTTCAGGAGAAGAGGGTGGATTGAACAAGGTCGGATCCTGGAAGGTAGCCCGCAGCTGGTGTCACCCTTTGAGACAGGACCCCAGGGAAGACTGTGGCACTGCTGGGGAAGAGTGGGTGGGAGTGGGGTTCAGTGTTCCATGTGCAACGCTGGGTGTTGGCTGCGCAGGTGGAGAAGTCCTGATCAGGACCCCTGTGGGCCGCAGTCCCTCATATGGTTGGGCCCTGTGCCAGGAGTTTGGGTCGACAAATTCTCAGCAGCAGAAGTGGGGCTGGATTTTTGGTCAACTGATGAAGAGGTAGCAGAGGCTGCAGATCCTGAAAAAAATTTAAAAAGGGCGAAAAAATATCAGACAGGAATGTGGTGTTAGGACAGAAAGAAGAGCTTTAGCGTCTGAGCCAGGGAAGAAGTATTGTTGGGAGTCAGGCCCAGGAGGACAGCAGAACCAGCTAGAAGGTCCTCCAGGGAAATACTGTGTGAAAAGTTATTTTCTCTTGGCACACAGGAGTGGTGCTGGGAAGCTGAGGCAGGAGCATTCTGAGTTTGAGGCCAGCCTGGGCTACGTAGTGAGACCACCTCACACTTAAAGGTGGATGCACTAAATATAAAAAGACAAATTAAAATGGACAGCTCTTCTTCCCTAACATCTGTATACTTCCAGATGTTTTCTGAAAAGTACCATGACATTTCTCCTTAAACCTCCTCTTAAAGTGAAAAAAAAAAAAAAAAAAAGGAATGGAAAAGATCATTAGTTCAATCAGTGGGTGATTATGAGAGTTACCAGTATGGGTGTTTTCAGAAGAGAATTTGGACTGTGTAGTGTTTGGTACTTTTGATCCTTTTGATTTCTGCTTTCTACCCAAGAACTTTGCAGAAAATCAGCAGGTGCATGCACCAGTCAGTTTTTGCCAAGTGCCTGCCTTTGTCACATAGTGATTCCGGCAGGAGGGAGGCTCCCTCTCCTGTAGTTGCAGCCTGATTGCCTCTGGTGGCAGATGGAGGTGCTGCAGTTGCTCCCGGCTTTTCTCCAATTTTGATTTTAAAGTGGTGCACACAGCTAGGCATGGTGGTGCTCCTGTGTAATCTCAGCACCCTGGGAGGCTGAGGCAGGAGGATTGCAAGGTCGAGCCCAGCCTGGGCAACTGAGCAAATCAGTGAGACCCTGTCTGAAAATGAAACAATTGAGAACAATGACTGGGGAACACAGCTCAGTGCCAAGGGCTCTGGACCACAAAAATAAAGTGGCGGGCGCAGTCAGTTGTAATCAGACGGGCTGGCTTAGTCATCCATTTCTCGCAGGTGTAGAGGCTGGCAAGTCCGGGATCAGGAAGTGTGTAAGGGCCTGCTTCCTGCTTCCTGGTAGGCAGGTGGCAGTTGTAGAGGGGTGGAGGGGAGCGAGAGAAGGGAGGGAGGTCCTCACCAGGACTCCCCAGTGCTGCCCCAGAGTTAGTGCATGAATCTGCAGGCTGTGCAAGTGCAGCCTGTTAAATGTGACGCCAGTTGACGAAATAAGTAAAATACTACATGTGCTTTAATTTGGGACCTTTCCTTCTCTTCTAAGTAAAATTGTTATTGAGATATATTCATATACTGTAAAACATCTTTTTCCGTGTAAAATTCCAGTTCGTAGCATAGGTTCTGTGACCATCACTACCATCTAATCCCACAGAATTTGTCACCGCATTCATGGTCATCCCCATTCCCGGGGCGCTGCAGCCTCTGGCAACCCTGCTGGGCCCTTCACCCTGTTGTGTTTCTCGCAGCTCTGGTGGCGCTGTCCTTCAGCGGGGCGATTGGGCTGACCTTTCTGATGCTGGGATGTGCCCTGGAGGATTATGGGTAAGTCGCCGCGTCCTCCGACCCCTGGCACAGGGTTAGAGAGTTGGATCCGTTCAGTGGCACCAACTGCTGATCAGTGAGTGAGTGAAGCTCGGATTACAAATCCAACTCCTCTGGGAGAATCTTTTCTTACAATCAGTATATTCATTTAATAAGCATTTGTTAAGCTTCTGCCGAGGCCCAGCTGGGGATAGAAACCTGAGTGCTGTCCTCAGAGAAGCAGGAAACAGTGTGGTCAGCGCAACGAGCACATGTGGTCTCTGGGCATCATGGAGGGCTGCCTGACTCTGTGGATCAGAAAGTTCCTCTGGCTGATGAGTGAGGGGATGATGCGGTCCAGGCAGAAGGGACGGTCAACAGCTTCTTTACTCAGCATCTTACAAAAGAGGAGTCGGAGGTGGGCACAGCACATACACTGTACCTTTCATCCCAGCGCTCAAGGAGGCTGAGGCAGGAGGGTCACACATTCACGGCCTGGCTGGGCAACTTAGTGAGACCCTGTCTCTAAAAGAAAAGGGCTGAAAATCGCACTCAGTGGTTGAGTGCCCCTGGGCGTGGTCCCTGTACACCACACACACACACACACACACACGATAGCCGGGCACACCTGGTCCAGACTGACGGTTGTCGCTGCTGAGTGAGCGAGTGTGGGAACGAGGGATGGAGGGAGGCACACTGCCCTGCGGTTGCTTTGGTGTGGCTTTGGAGGCTGGGCCATTGCTGTCCCCTCCCCAGCCCAGAGCGAGGAGCCGCATGGCAGGAGGGACTGAGGCGGGCACAGACGCGGGCTCTGTTTCTGGCCAGAGGGTCCCATGACCGACTCCATGACACACCGGACTGTCCCAGGCGGGCCAAAGTGACTTGCCTTGCAGTCACCGCAGCTCACACCCAGGACCCCAGTCCGCATGGAGCCGAGCACGTGCTGTGGCAGAGGCCGCAGGGACCAGACCTTGTGCCACCGAGGCCGAATCCTGGATTTTGGTCCCCAGCAGGTGTGCGGACTCGTGGCAGGCTGGTCCCCTGTGTAAGTCGCGCTCCTGCGTGGGCGGCCCTGCCGGGCCCTGGAGGTGCTGTGCGTGCAGCCTCTCTGGGTCCCTGGACTTTGGGAAGGGTGAGCAGTTCATCCCGTCTGCCGCGCGCTTCCTCCCTGGGAGGCAGTGCTGTCCGGGGACCGGAAGCCCCAGAACTACAGCCCGACCTCCTCGTGGCCGCCGGTCTTCGGGGTGAGGCCGAGCTCCTCTCTTGCCCTTCGGCCCCTCCGCCCTCCTTCTGACCCGGGAGGTGCTGAGTGAGGGCGGCCTGTGCTTCGTTTGTGGCCAGGGAGACTCAGTGGTTCCTCCAGGGGTGAAGCATCGCAAGTGTCCAAGCGAGGGAGACGAGGATGAAGACAGAGCAAAGGCCACTGGAGACCCAGTGACCGTGCTTTGTTTTGTATCGGGGATCGAACTCAGGACCTTGCGCTTGAGAGGCACGCGGTGGAGCTGCTGAGCCACATCCCTGGCCCAGATGACCATTGTTAATAAATGTGAAGTAATGAAACTCGGAAAGAAAGCCATTTTGTTGTTTCGCCTTGCGGTGCTGTTGTGGTCACTGTGCTGAAGACTGGAGTGCATCTGAAGCTTCGTCAGTGAGCGGATCTGTTTTTGTGTCTTCCTCATTAAAATCCTTCCAGTTTCTTCATCCGTTCAACAAGCGTGAACGGAGCACCTGTTCTCGGCCTGGAGCTAAATGGTGCAGACCGAGGCAGGTGGGGCCTGACCTCCTAGGAGAGAGGAGACCCCGGAGCCAGCGCCCCGGTGGGAGCAGGGCCTGCAGGGTGTGCGCTGGCCTCTGCCCGGAGAAGGGAAGCGCGGCCTGAGCAGAGCCCCGTGCAGTTAGGAGCAGGAGGAGTGAAGGAAGTAGGAGAGTGTGAGGCCTTTGAGACTGGACAGGGGAGTCAGGCTTTGTTTTAAAGCTCCAGAGACGGGCTTGTGCTCACCCAGGAGATCTGTCTGTATTAACGGCACGCCGCAGCCGGTCTGCCCAGTTCTGCGGGGAGAGCAGAGATGGGCAGACTCTGTCCTTACAGAATCCGCAGTGCAGCCACACAGGAAGCCGACGTCTGTGGGTCATACCTTCTGCAGTTGTTCCGTAACAGAAGTTGTCTATGTGCATATTAACAGCCAGGAATTTTGAAACTATCACTGTTACCCTGGCCGTAACTGTACCCATGATCGATTAATTCTTTGACCCAGACATTTGAAATCATGGCTTTGAGGCAGGAGCCTGTCTTCTGTAACCGTGGCTTTCCCCACCTGCCCGCCCGCAGTGTCTACTGGCCCCTGTTCGTGCTGGTCTTCCACGCTGTCTCACCCCTGCCCCACTGCATCACCAAGAGGGTCACCTATGACTCGGACGCGGCCAGCAGTGCCTGCCGGGAGCTGGCCTACTTCTTCACCACCGGGATCGTCGTGTCTGCCTTTGGGTTTCCTGTCATTCTGGCTCGTGTGGCCGTGGTAAGTTTTGTGGTCTGTTGTCTTACTCAGCTGTCATGGGCTTACCTCTGGGGCCTCAGTGCCATTTTCATGCTTGGACATTGCTCAGAGCTGGATGTGTCTTCAGTTTCTTTCTTCCTGTGCTGTAGATGAGCCTTGTTTTCACAACGCTTTCTTTGATTTAGGCAGACTGTAGGGGTTCTTGCTTTTTCTACATTAAGCTGTTCTCTGGGATTGTTCTTACACCCCTGCCTCTTAAACCATTGGGCAATTCAAAAGATTACACTAGCTATACTTTTCCCATTACAAAATGAAGACTTATCAGGTTCTTTGCAAATGGGACCATGGGGTTAATTCTCAATATAAAAGGTATATAAAAAGGGATGTCTATATGTTTTTCTGCCAGAAGATACACTGAATAAGGTAACATCCACTGCTGATGTCATTTTCTGTCTCTAAAACACACATTGTGCATGTAGTTTTAGTTCTTTTATGTTCACTGTCTTTCCTATTCTTTGCTTTTATTCTGCCTGACGGTTTTGCATTTGAATGTCATGAAACTTTTACTTGGGGCATTGAGCAAATACATGTGCATCTTGTTTATTCATTCACTGTGCATGTATCTTTGGAAATCTGCTATTTGTACAACATGAGGGATAAGTGTGAGATTCAGCCTCTGCCGGCAGAGAGCTCAGAAACTGTAGACCTGTGACACGTGTCACTACCGTGGGACTGGAACGCCCTGGAGCACCAAGCAAGGGACTTTCCAGCTGGCCTGCAACGTGGCCCTCAGGATCACTGGGGCTTCCCCTGAAGTAGAGAGGGCTGCAGGCACTGTGCTACAAAGGCCATCATTAAGGCTCAGGGCTCGCTCAGGCCTTCACGTGGGAGTCTTGACCGCCCTGCTGGTTTGAGCTTCAGTTATGCCGAGAGGTTATGAATAAATTATTTTCATAACCTTATTCTTCTGGAGCCCCAGACTATCACTTCTAAAGTTTTGCTGTAAATATTTATAATGTTCCTTTCAACACTGCCATGGTGTTTGAGAAGAAAATTTCACGAATATTCTATTGGTTAAATGAAAGCCAGCGAAAGCGCCCACCAGCGGGAGCTCTCACCCCTAGCAGAGCCTCTGAAGCAGCTTGCCTGGGTGGAGAGCGGCTTCCAGTTGGAGTCTGTGATTATTGAAAGGTTTTTCTTGCCTAGAGAAGAAACAAACAAGTCCATAATCCTCCAATCCCTATTTTCCACGAAGGAAGTCGATGCATGCAGAGTTTACAGTGTCCAGGGCTGTGACCCCACGGTTCAGGACCTCACTACGTTGCCAGGCGAAAACCGGAAGGGAAATGCGTGTGGTGCGGAGAATGCCGGATGACACCTGTTACCGGGCTTCATTCACAGGCAGCAGGAAGCAGTTAGAGCACAGCCTGCTAGTTCCCTGTCCGGCCTGTTAGGCTGTTCAGCCTTTTAGCAACTCTGTGTGATATTTCACTGGCCCTTTCTAATGCAGAGAACAGCAGGCTTGGGAGCCCAGTGAGGAAAGTAAGGGTCTAACCCTTCCTTCTTGTCTTCCAGATCAAGTGGGGAGCCTGCGGCCTGGTGCTGGCAGGCAACGCTGTCATTTTCCTGACAATTCAAGGTTTTTTCCTCGTCTTTGGAAGAGGAGATGATTTTAGCTGGGAGCAGTGGTAGCGTTTTGCATAGACAGAGCCCTGCGTCCCTTAGACCTTGTACTGTGTGTGTTTGTGTACACACATGGCTTTGCTATGGCGTTTATATGCTGAGCTTTTATACCTTTCTATCGTGATCATTTGTAAGGAAGACTCCGTCAGTAAGAGTTTACTTTATTTCCAGCAAGTAGAAGTTGAGGTATGGCATTTGTTTGGCTCTTCATGCGCCTGCGGTGTGTTCAGAGTCAGCGCCGTATGTGGACAGCTGCTCACTTGGGCAGCGAGACAGAGTTGCCCCTGTGTGTCCCAGGCCTGCGCTTCTCCAAGCAGGGTGGCAGCAGATCAGGGCAGCAGCAGAACCCTGTTAGAAACGCGGCTCCTAAAGCCCCACTCCCGAGCGACTCATGTGCATGTAACGCTCCAGGAGTTTTGCCGTGGAGGAGTAAGCATCATCCCTGACTTAGCCTCTCTGGGCGTCACCTGCTCCTTTGGAAGAAAATTCCCCACCTGCCCGGGTGTCTGAGGTTCACGCTGCAGTACACGTGCTCTTTGTCACACCTGTGGCAGGTGTTCTCAGCAGGGAACAGGTATGCCCTCCACCACCCGAGACGCAGTGGCTGTCGTCACAGTGCTGGAGGGGAGGCCGGGCCTACGGGCCCTTTCTTCGTCATGGCTCTGACTTCCACACCTTAAAAAGACACGAGGCCAAGGGGGCAGCAGAGTGGATCACTTAGTTTTATTGACGTTTTGATGTTCTTCTTATCCTTCATGTAAAACTTTAAGCCACCTGTAAATGAATCATTAGCAGTGCAGGTCATGTCAAATCCTGTGGTCATGGCTTTTCTAACTCAAGACCTGTTGAGAAAAGGAAATATGAAAAATGGAACCACGCGATCGGATTACAACCAGTGACTTTAAACATTGGCGTGCAGCCACTGCTGTGTGTTTGGAACATGTCCGCCTTGAGGTTTGAGCCCCGAGGGACCGGTGCTCCCTCCCCAGCCAGGGCTGCGGGGGTAGAGGACAGAAGAGCGTGGCGCCTTGAGGATTATGTGCAATGCTGTGTTTTGACCCTGTGCAGGATCTCACTTTTTCAGGGTTCTGTTTACATGTAGAATTCTTCAAGTTGTTATTCCCATTATTTACATTAGAAAAATCACTTACTTTATAATTTTAAGCAGCATTTTAAATCATGACACTTGGCACTTATTGTACTGTAATAAATTTCACTTTTAACATAAAAGAAAAGTTTACTTTTTAAAGCCTTTATTCTGATGTCGCCCTGCTTAAAAGATAATGAAAAGGTGAGACTTTCTCGATGTTATGAGGTGTGGGCAGTTTTGAGCAATAATTTGTCCTTGCTCAGAATATAGCAGTGACTCTGGGGACACTATTTTTGAATGCCTGGTTGGCTTATAAGAATGTTTCTTTGCCTCAGATGGCAAAAATGGTCAGTTTATTCCATCTTTTGTAGTAGTCTGTTAGTTGTTTATATATATTTCAAATAACCCCTCTGTCCCTAATGTGTAGGCTTAGAGCATTACCTCTTGGTTGTATTTTTCCAAATGATGTAAAATACTTGCATAAAGGACATTTGAAGTCATTTGCTTTGAATCTGGAAAAGACATTTATTTTGTGTACCGAAGTATCATTTAAGTGATAAATACCAGTTGGAAGCATGGGCCTGTGTGACTGAGCAGCACAGGAGCTTTACGCGGGGCTGGATGACTTTTTCCTATGTGACAGTGGTGGCGAACCTGTGGTACACATGCCACAGCCAGCTGTTGGGTAACATTGAGAGTTCTAAAAGGTTTGCCATCACTGCGTGCACTGCAGAGTGGACATTGATGCATACTGATTGCGTCCTAAAGCTGACTACACCCCCAGAATTGTCCCCAAGTGAGTACCCCGGGAAGGCCGTCCCTCTCACGTCCCACACACGGATTCGAGAGGACTTTGAGGCAACCCCCCACCCCCGGCAGCGACACTCAGGGCTGATGGTGGGTCCCAGGCTGGGCTTCCCTGGCAGAGCTGAGCTGTGATGCCACAGGCACCTGCCCAAGTCTGGTCCGGACCAGGGTGCTGAGACATGTTTGGAGATGGATGTGGTATTTCTACCTCTTTTCCTATATGCCAGGTCTTTGCACTTTAGTGGTTGTGCGCTATGCCACATTAAGCTCTTACAGTGCAGGTCCCCACCCTTGAGTCCCGCGCCCCTGTCCTCCTCCTCACCTGTCCTGTCACCCTTCTTGGTGGACCTCACCTTCCCCCAAATCAGTTTCTCAAGGGTAGTGGATCCCAGGTGCTGTTGAAAAGAAAGCGACCCTACTTGGCTTCCTGGCTGCTGCGAGAGTGCATCCTCCCCCATCTGAAGCTCACACTCCCTGCAGTCACCTGCGTGTGAACAGTGCCCTGGGGCACGAGACCCCCTCTGGCTGAGTACAGCAAAAGAGATGGCCTTCCAGAATAGAAAAGGATAGGGCCAGGGATTTAGCTCAGTGGTTCGGTGGCCTGCCTTGCGAGCGCAAGGACCGGAGTTCAATCCCTGGTACCAAAAAAAAAAAAAAAAAAAAAAAAA